ATTATATTATATATAAAAATATATATATTATATATTTGGGCGATCAACCAGTTGCCTTTTGCCAGATACATGAGTAACAGCAGAGTTTGCAGTTACTTATTTCTGCTCTGAACTGGTAACCAACACCTCAGTTTAATTAGCACAGCACAATTTATACTTTTTTTTTTGCTTTACTTTTAGAGAAGAAACAAACAAGAACTTACAGCACTATTATTCCCAATGCACGTAGCTTTCCACCCTCCATAATTTCCACTAGGATCACTTTGATACAGCTGAAATCCATAATGCTTGTCCCAGCCGATATACAGCAGTGAGACACCAAAAGGACGTTTTCCTGTTGAAAAGAGGGCTATTAGCAATCTAATTTTAGCAACAAGACAGTGAGTGACGGTTATTTTCTTTTATTTGCTTTTACAGCTCTATTCCTGTGAAGTAGGATTTAAGAGACTGTTCTGCACTTCTGTCGTTCAAGATAAGCACACCAGCTTTCTTTTTAAGTCATGGAGTGGGGAGCAGCAGAGGTTTATTTCATTTAACCCTAAGAGCAGCTCATTTCTGTCTTCACAAACTGTAATTTAGCTGTAATATTCTAATATATGTAAAACTGCAGACTCATCCCTTCATGTACTAAGGAACAGTACTTCAATACTTTCTACATGTTAACTCGATCCACAGAAATACTATTTTTTGAAGTGCTACAATATTGATAGCCCTACATATGATCTGATTTGTGATGCATTGTGCTGCTATGGTGGATGGACCCAAAACGTTGAAAGGTCACATATCACACAATTCTCTGCTAGTCATTTGAAAACAGTCGCTAAACCCAAGAGCACTCCAAGCATTCTATGTAGGGGGCCCAAATCTCAGCCATCAATTTGTCAATCACTAACAAGTAGCAAAACAGTAACCATGACTACTCATTCCCCTCTTAAATTTGGCTGTTGTTTTACCCAGTATATCCTGTTCCAGAAGGATTTGGTAGAACTGTCCAGAGACTCAAATGCTTCAAATTATGTATCAGAATAATTCTTTAGACATTTAAAAGCACAATGGTTCATCACACTTCATTACCTCCAAATTGTGTGTAAGCCTGCTTGATATCACACAGTGCCGTTACCAGTTGTTCACAAGGAATTGGCTCTTGATATTGTAACAAATACCTAATATGAAAGGAAAAAAAAAGTTTTCAGAACGTGTTTTGCTGACAGTATCCTGTACCACATTTAACAAGAAACAAGCTCCTAAGTTAGAGCCTCTTTGATCTAGCTGTGGTATTTCAAACAATCTACTTCTGCTCTACTAAATGCACATTCACTGTGATTTAATACATAAACAGAACTGAACCTGACAGCAGAGGCAAGTAAAACCAGATTAACTATCAGCAGACCTACCTCTGTGCAATCAGTCTGAGTTCATTTGTTAGAACATTGGCATCTGAAGTTATTCCTGCAACGCTGCAAGCCATATCCCTGCAATGCAAGCACACAAATTAACTGAATTCCTATCAATCTCCAATAAATAGTCACGTCTTCATGTAACGGTTCAAGCAGAACACCTACTGTTGTGCTTTTCTGCCATATAAAACAGGTTCATCGGCTCCTACCTTTAGGGTACATCAGAAATATTATGTAGCCATTTTGTAAGAACAGAGGTGAAAAGCAAAAAGTAAGCGAGTCAGTAGGCGAGTTACACGTACAGTGCTGTGAAGAGGATTATGCCAAAGATGCTGAAGTCCCCAGTGTCTTCACAAAGCCCATTAGCTATACACAAGCGCTATCGAGGCCGCTTGACACAGCACACCACAAGACCAAAAGGAGCCAGTCAGGCAACAGCCTTCAGTGGCAGTCGCTGGCTGACATGTTGCATCTGTGTAACCAAAAACTGGTGATCTTGGTCTGATCATAAGAAAAATAAGTGCTTTGTGTCCCTGACTATTTCACTCGCTCTTAATTTAAGATCTCTTTTGCCCAATCTGACATTGCTACAAACCTTTCAGCTCACAGAAAGGATTCAAGAAAAATAATCCATCTTATTTATTCCAAGTGAATTAAAGAATTTTTCAGAAAGTGGAAGGACTGGCCTGGGCAACACCTGCAATGCGCCGTTACACAGCTCCTTGAAAATCCAGTGCTTCCTACAGTTCTGCCTGCTTTCAAGACCAGCACAGAATGGGAGGCTGACAGGATGAAGAGCTGTTTGTGTTTCATGTGCACCTTCTGGCAAGGATGAAGCTCTACGTCCCTTATAGGCAAGGAAGCACAATCCATAATGCCCTTTGCTCCAACATCACAAATTTAACTTTGAGAGCACTAAAGAGTGTCCTAAACGGGAGGTATCTTCTCTGCTACAGCTCTGGCAAAGAAGCCTAAAGCATGCTTTGCCCAATTATCTTCTTGTCTTTGAATCACAAAAAACCCCAAAGACTTAAGAGAGGACACCGAGCTGATTTTTGTGTGTATTCTTTATTCTGCTCCCCCCCCCCAGTCGTATTTTGTAAAACTGAGAATTCCCTTATTTTCTTAAGTGCTACAGTAACATTACCTTGTACCAAAAGACAGGCTATTCCACCTAGAAAATTCTCTTAAAACATAAAAAAGTAACATTTCTACTTTAGAAGAACTACTGAAGCAAACAATGACAGAACAGTCATCTAAAACACTGAACAAAAAGAATACTAATGCTTTGAATAAAATAAAACCAGGTTCAGTGCTAAAATGTCTGAATAAAGGCAACATTCTGTTACTGATAACATCACTGGACATCTGACCATCATTTCAACTTACTCATTAAGTTTGTATATTTTCTCTGAGAAAAACACTTCATCCAGAAGCTTGTGAATGTTGCGTCTCTCTGCTGCTAGCAAAACACCATCATTTGCCAGAATTCCCAAGCAAGTACCTGCATGTCCAATTGCTTCCATTGCATACTCAACCTGGTACAAGCGACCTAGGAAAGGATTGAAATTATTAATATCAAAAAAGTAACACTGAACAAGACCAAATACACAAGGTGACTTAAATCTGCAAGAATCTGACAGATGCTCGTAGTAAAACCTAGTCTGACTTCTTCAGTCTGTTACCAGTTGATAGTAAATTAACTGGTTGAAAAAGAGGGGGAGTCACAGAATGAAAATCCACACATCTGATACAGGGCATCGCCAATGTGGAAAGAAATAATGTTTTGCCTTGTTTTATGTTGTTTTACAAAAAAAATAAATCTACAGAACTCTCTGCTGCAGAAGTATGAACCAAAATAGATTTTCAATAATAAAAATAAATTATACCAGACTTTGAGTTCATCCTATTTAAGAAATAGGAAAGCATGGATTGTACAAACTTGTTTCAGCGTGGGTAAGAATAACAAGCAGAGGAGTGACTGCACCAGCTGGATATTATGCATCCTCAGGTGGAAGGGAGGAACAGCAACAAAATCCATCCATACTCAAACAAAAGATGAATGCTGAAAATTTTCTCAAATTATATAAAAAAATACTGCAGGTGGTATTGTCCACTAATGGGTACCAGTCTCATTATTGCTTGAAACAGAATTAATTTAGATGTTCCCACTTTGGACCCTTGGTGTTCTTACAGAATTGGGCGCTACATCTTAGCAGGTAAATATGATTTCTGAAACTCATATATGGATGGAAACACACCACAACCAACCAACCCTTGTACAACTAGTTTGTTATTTTGAAAAGCTGGATAGAACAGACTCTACTTGAAAGTGTGAGGTTAAAAAATACCTTCTGGAGAAAATATGGTAGTTCTGGAGTCGTATCTTCGAGACTGGAAAAAGCAACAGCTCATTAAACATCACTGTTCTCTTGTCAGACAGCAACGCTCTAAAATTAGCAGTACCCCGAGCTGCGCAGTACAACTAGTTTGTTATTTTGAAAAGCTGGATAGAACAGACTCTACTTGAAAGTGTGAGGTTAAAAAATACCTTCTGGAGAAAATATGGTAGTTCTGGAGTCGTATCTTCGAGACTGGAAAAAGCAACAGCTCATTAAACATCACTGTTCTCTTGTCAGACAGCAACGCTCTAAAATTAGCAGTACCCCGAGCTGCGCATAAAGCCCCAGCCACTGAGGGACCTCACTGTGGTGCCACCCAGTCCCCCAGCAGTGCGGTCCCTCCGTCCCCTCACCCCGCTGCAGCCCACCCGCCCGCGGGCGCTGACTCGACAAAGCTCCAGGGAAGGCGGGTCCGGCCCGCAACTGCTACTCACCATGGTGCCGAGGAGGCGCTGGCAGCAGAAAGGAAGCGGGCCTGCAAGACACCAGAGCACGCGTTAACCGGCACTGAGCATCCGCCACGCCCCGCGCACACGGACCCCAGCCCAAGACCCAGAGGGCGTCGCGTCTGCGCCAGGCCCAGAGCCCCTCCGCCTCTGCGGCCGCACTGCAGAGTCATCCTGACCGCAACGAAAGGCGAGG